ATCTAAGAAGCTTCTATAGTAAATATTATAGAATTAACTTACTTTTATCTACTTATACATATAATTAGTGGCTTATATGCGTATGTAAGTGACATTATCCTCACTTCTAGGAACGAGTTCCACGAGGAGCAGTCATTATATGTTGAAGAAATCTATGATGCGACAAATTATATTCTCCACATACTCTGATCTTGGTTCTCTTTGAAGATGATTGATAGGGCCTCTCAACCATCGATAGTATCTCATACCAGGGCAGAAAGACCACCTAGTTATTTGATCGTTGTTGAGGCCTTCATAACTTCCTTCCTTTATAAGGAAGGTTTCTTTTAGAAGGAAGGTTTTCATCTTAATTTTAATGAATGTCATCGATGAAAAGCCTCCATTACCTTTGTTGCATTTGTAAGATTCTTTACTAGCTCCCATGTGCATTCACTATTATCATATCCACGCTAGTGGACAAAATATTCCAATTTATTTCGGCGCCGCCTTGAATCTAAGACTTCTTCCACTTCTAACTCTTTATTATTGTTCACTTCTATAGGAGGAGGTGGAGCTTGTCTTCTTTTTGGTATGTCTACTATCTTGTATGGTTCAAGAAGAGACTCGTGGAATACTCAATAGATTTTCATTGACTCTGGTAGGTATAAACGATATTCAATTGGATTGATTTGTATAAAAATAAAAAATGGTCTTAGCCTTTGATAGTCTAACTTGTCACAAAGACGAGTGGTCTTGATATTGCGACCAAGTAACTATACCTTGTTACCTATGTGGAATGGTAGTTGTTCCTTTTGATAGACATTTGCATTGACCTTTTATTCTTCTTGAGCTTCTTTTAACTATACCTTTATCGTTGCATGTAGCTCTAACAAATGATTTGCTAAATCTTTTGCTGCAAGATTATCAACTTTTGAAAAGTCAAAAGTATCAAGTTGTGGATGATAACCATAATTGGCAAAAAAAGGTGTTTATTTTGTAGAAGAATGTACCATGTTATTATAAATAAACTCCGCTAATGGCAAAAGAGTTATCCAATCATCTTATTGGTAGTTGATGGTACATCTTAAATACTACTCCAAAACTTGATTAACATGCTCCGTTTGTCCATCAATTTGAGGATGGAATGTCGAAGATAGTTTTATATCTACTTTTAGAATCTTAAAAAGAGCTCGCCAAAATCTTGATATAAATTGAGTTCCCTTCTCTGATATAATATTCTTAGGTAATCCATGATAGCAATAGATATTGTCAAGAAAGAACTTAGTTGTTTCTTCACTTGTGATGCATTTTATACATGGTACAAAATATGCCATCTCGGTAAAATGATCTACTATCACGAACATAAAGTCATAAGAACCTGAGATTGGAAGATTCGTGATGAAATCCATAGAAATAAAAGACCATAGTTGTTCTGAAATAGATAATGGCTGAAAAAGTCCATAAGATCAATGATGAGGAGTTTTTGATCTTGAGCAAACATGAAAAGATTATACAAAATCTTTGACTGCTTTCCACATTTGGGGCCACCAAAAGTCCATGGATATTAATTCCAAAGTTTTATTGTACCCAAAATATCTTGCTGCTGGAAAGTATTGACAAAATTGAAAAACTTGTAATCGAGTTTTACCTTCTGGAATATATAGGTGTCTCTCAAAATATAGTAGATTCTTCTTGAATTCAAACTTGGAAGTATCATAAGACTTTGAAGGATTTTTTTTAATATCACGAATAAGAGGATCAGAAGACATACTTGACTGAACTTGCTTAATGAAACTTGAATCAACAATTACTATTGATTTCATTGTTCGAAGATGAAGATGCTTTAGCTTCAAGAAAATTATCCATTGTTGATCGAAAGTAGCATCTCCTTCCTTTGGTGTAAGATAAGATCATCTAGAGAATGCATCTGACAAACCTTATTATTTTTCTAGCCGATAAGTGATTTTGAATTCAAATCTTGACAAAGACATACTCCAATGGGTTGGTGACGATTCAAAATACGTGTTGATACAAAATATTTAAGATTCTTGTGATCCATATATATGGTGACTGGGCTAAAAGTACCTTCTAGATAATGGCACCATTCTTGAAACGAATCCATGATTGTAAGGAGTTTTTTGTCATAGATCTTCTAGTTGATCTTGGTTGCTAAAAATTTTCTAGAATGAAAAGCTATTAGATGAAGTTTATCATCTATTCCCATTTGTGACAATACTGCACCTAAAGCAAAGTTTAATGGATCTGTTTCCATAAAAAATGGCTTAGAAAAATCAACGCGATAGAAGATTGGTGTAGAAACAAAGGATGTCTTCAAAGCTTCAAATGCTACTTTCACTTCTTGATTCTATTGAAGTTTTTTTTACAAGTCAAATGTGTAAGTAGAGTTGCAACTTGAGAGAAGTCTTTGATGATGATCTAATAGTAGTTGACAAATTCCAAAAAGTATTGGACATCTCTTACCATTTTTGGGATCTTTTAATTCATAATAGTTTGAATTTTCTTAGGATCCATCATAATTCCATTATTTGAAATGATGTATCCTAAGAAGTCGACTTGAATAGTATGAAATATATACTTTTCTATCTTAGCATAGAGTCCCACATCTCTTAGTTTTTGTAACACACAACGAACATGAAGTTCATATTCTTTTGTGTTCTTAGAATAGATTAAGATGTTGTCTAAGTAATAAACAATAAAATCATCTAAAAACTCCCAAAAACATATTTTATTAGATGTTGGAATGTTATCAGTATATCTGTAAGTTTAAAAGGCATGACATTGTATTTGAAATGTCCATACCTTGTTCGAAATGCAGTCTTCCATTCATCTCCTTCTTTAATGTATACTAGATTGTATGCTCCTTGTAGAACTATTTTTGTAATGATCTTAGCTTGATTCAAGTGGTCAAGGAATCCAGATATCAAAAGTAGTAGGTACCTATTTTTAATAGTGATTTTGTTGAGTCTTTGATAATTGACATACATCCGCAATGATCCATCTTTTTTCTTCACAAATAAAATTAGAAATCTTCTTGGAGATTTGGAATGACGTTGTTGTATTGTAAATGCTTACAGTATGTAAAAATTAGCTAAAACATATTATATATTGATAAATGTAGATGTGTGTTAGAGTGGCTAATAGATTAAATTAAAAAGAATTGGTATAAGAAATTTTACTTTGTTTCTTTACTTCTTTTGATTTTGACATTAAAATATATATATATATATATATATATATATAAGACCTAAATGTTTAGTATGAAGCCTTGGGAGAAGGTGGAAACCTAAGGATGAAAATCTAAACTAGTAGGAGGCTAATTGAAAGGGATGAAAGTAAGGCATGGTCGGATGAAGGCAAGGAATAGAGAACTTCATCCCTATTGGTCAAATACCATGTCCAAGGCTTCAAGGAGGCTGCCCGAGGCCTTATTAGGGATTAGGGTTCTTTTTTCGAAGGCATGTAGAGATTACAAGCTAGGGTTGTAAATTTTAGGATTTGGGGTACAATTTTTGTACAAAAATTAGAGGATTTGGAGTTAGGATGAAGAAGTTATAGCCGTTTGAAGTTAAGGTGTTTATTTAAGACATATTGTTACTCTTTTGAGGGTACGAGGAGTTTTACAATAGCTTTTGAAGTTCGGAAGGTGCGACTAGAACAGTGATTTCAAGGCCTACATCTTTTATGAAGGAATTATTGCTTTTGGAGTTCATATGAAGGAGTAGTAAGGAGTTGAAGGCGGCGCTTTCAAATCAAAGACAGTAAGTAAACAGTTTTATTTGTAGTAATGGTTGGAGCCATAACTTGAATATTCGAATGAATTTTTGGCTCAAACTTTTGGAGAATGTAAATTTTTGTGTTAAGAAGCTATACATACAAATTTCGTGGCATTTAAACTTATATTTTGTGAGATATGAAGAAAATTGCACGCGGATATATAAAGACAAGGGTTTGAAGCGACTGTTAGGGTTTTCAAGATATCTCAAGATCTGCAACGAATTTGCAGTTGAAGTTTGTTTTAGAAGTTAATAAGAATATATCAGTACCTCATGTAAAATTTGAGTTTGTTTGGAAAGTCGTATTAGGAGATATGAGGTGTTGAAGTTTAGAAAAATCTCCACATAAGAATAAACAAGGTTTTAGAAGATTTTATCATATTTTGGAAGTTGTGGATTATTTGAGGATTGTGTATTTGGTGTAATTACTCAAAAGGGAAAAAAATTATATATAAACTTAGGGCTTTTCTTATTTTTAAGCTTGATTGTATAATTAGTGACAATCAGAAGCCCAGCATTTTCTTGAGGCAAATTCTCTCTACCTCGACAGCGTTGTCTTGTTGTAAAAATATATATGGTGTGAAAAATATAAAATAATGTGTTGAAATAAAAGAATCAAGATTAGAAGAAGAAACGAAGAAGAAAGAAAAGGATTGTCGTTACAACCACAATATCTTAGATTTTTACTACATCTTGTTACAAGCTTAGGGATGATAGGTAGGCCAAACTGCTAATTTCCTACTTAAACTCCCACTAGCAGTACCAAGTTATGAAGCCACGGCTTTCTATAGTGAAGTCAAGTCGGTTTGGATCCACATCAACTTCAAAATAGCCAACAGCTTATACCACATAAGCTTCTCTAATTTGGCAGTATAAGTTGTAGTTCCCTTTCTTTTATCTTTAATCTAGTCTAAACTGCTTTATTCTACTTATTAGATTTTCTTCTATGAAGTTTAGATCTAATTTACTTATGTTTTTCTTCTACATTAGGTCTGAACCTAATGGTTGTGGGCTGAAATTAGAAGAGAAGTATAATAGAAAGTAGATAGTAAGAAAGTAGAATAAAAATCTACTTTAAAAGTTGAGTTTTTCCAAGTTAGTCAAATGGATAAGGATGAAGAGGTGGAAAGATATGGGATAAGGTTCCTTTTGACCAAAAAGGAAGGAAGACTTGGCAGAAATCACGAAAAGTGGAAAAAACTCAAGATATAAAGAAGAGGAAGAAGAGTAGAGGAGGGAGAAGGAGGATTTCAGTAGAACGTTTTTGTGTGTAGAATGAGTTAGGAGAGGATTTTGAATGCGATTTTTTGTGGGTTTGTAGTAGACAAAGTGAGAAACAATTAGAGACAAATCTCATGTGATTTGATTAAGTATCAAGGGAGATATGGGTCGTCGAAGTTGCGGGTGTCTAAGACTAGGGTTGTGAGGGTTAGCGAATTTCGGGGCCTTGGTTCTTAGTGACCACTTGGACTTTTTAGGCGAAATTTGTTGGGTTTTGTTTCTAATAAAGTTAAGAATATTGTGTCCAAATCTCAAGTCCATACAACCTGTGAGCTAGGAGATACGAAGAAATGAGTGAGAAGGGGTGCAGAATTTATAGCTGCAGGGGGGGGGTAACTTTGAAAGCTTGGTTCTCTTAGAGTACTTAACCTTTTTCAAAATTTCTTTTTGGGTTTGATTTCTTATCTTGTCTACTCTAACATATCCAAAACTGACTCTCATATATACTCTAGTTTAGGAGTTAAGGGGAATAATAAATTCGGGATTTTGAAGGCAGTGGGAGGAAAGAATATATAGTGGATTTTTAGGGTTTTTAGGATCAGATTTTAGGATTTGGATGTGTTTAACGATGTTAGACTCTTCTTTGGTCATTTAGTTGCAAAAATGACCCGGTGTTTCCTATAGCAAGACCTCTCAACATGACATAATTTGGTGCTTCTAGTGAGAGAGCTTTAGGGCTTCTAGATTGATCAAGGTAAGATGGGGGTTTACCACTATTGGTAGTAATCAAGGTAGAGGAAATGGACAAGCCCTTGCAGATGAATTTATGAGGGCTATGCAAATGATGATGGATCAATAGAGTGCTAATGCAAAGGATCAAGAAGCTAGAAAAGCATTGAGGACAATTAGTGGAAAAACTGGAAGATTTGATGGTAAGAACATTATCTCATTTTTGAGAGTCTACACTTATGAGATGGAGATTTATCAAGTGCCAAAAGGAAGGATGATTGAGACTTTTGATCTTGCGGTTGTGCCGGAGATTAGAGAGAGAGTGAAGCAGCTACATGAAGAAGATTTGGAAAATACATGAGCTAGATTTGAAGAAAGGCTCAGGAATGAGTATTTTGATGAAGATTCAGAGAGAATGTCTAAGAGAGGCTTCCTTGGTTGGATAGAGCAACAACCATGCAAAAATATGGGGCCTAAGGAGTTATTTAGGGAATTTGAAAAGAAGTTTGAGCAACTTTCGTTAATTGAGAAGCGAATTCTCGAGGTGAGAAAATCAAAACTCTTTCTATAAGCTGCAGATGAAGTATTAGAAGATAGATTACTTCTTCTTCTTTAAGATGGAGTTGCAGAAGGAGGTTTTACTACAAATTGGAGGAGATTGGAGGAAGCAGTCAATCTTTTTACTAAAAAATAGAGAGCGAAGGCAAGGGGATATGGAATGAAGATGGAGACAACATCTACTAATAAGGTATCTTCAGTAGTCCAACCTACCTTCTTTCCTTCAAGTTCTTCAAGTTCTAAGATTGTAAATGAAGAGACTCTAGAGAAACTGATTCGAGGAATCAAGGAATTGAAGGTAGAAATGACTGCCTTGAAGAAAGCTATCAAGTCCATCGCTATATAATTCACAGGAAGATCAAAGGGGTTTGTGATAAGATACATTTGGTGTGATGACTTAAATCATAAACGTGTTGATTGTGAGTCATATGCAGATGCCTTGAAGAATGGCATTATTTCCTTCAAAGACGGAAGGATTAGAGATGCTGCAATGGATGATACTTTGGAGACTAACTTTGGCAGAGGAGGCATGAAGAAATTGATGGAAGATAGGTTGAAGAGGAGCAGTTCATCTTGTGGCAAAGAAACAAAGACTTATACCATTGAAACTGATCAAGGTATGGTAAAATCTTCTTCACAAGTGACCAGAGAAGTGATGGTTAGAAGAGCAAAAGCCATTAGAAAGCTAACTGGATGGAGTGATCCAATAGAAGCTTCTATAATCAAGGCTTATCTATCGAAAGAAGATGAATACAAGGAGCCTGAAGATGCATCAGTAGAGGTTAAAAGAGGAAGAGCTGATAAAGAAGAAGGGGTAGAAGAACCTTCATCAAAGAAAAAAGCTCCAAATGCTAAAGAGACTTCACCAAAAGAAGGGCAAGCTCATCGTACACGTTAAAGACAAGAAGCAAGACCATCTACTTCTCATCCAGGAGATGCACCTCTTCCAAAGGAATGGTATGAGGAGGATATAAGTAGGAAGAAGGAAGAGACTAAAGAAACCAAACAAAAGGAAAAAAAGGTAAAATGTCTGCTTATAAACTTCAATCTGATATTGAATCTTCAATTGATATGAAAGGCATTCTTGAAGAGAGGATTCTTGATGCAAAGATTGAATTTACCTTGAGAGAGGCTCTTCATATTGCAAAGAAGGACTTCCATGAACTTATTATTGATGTTATCAAAAAAAAAGGGTAAATGACAGCAGTAATTGTAATGGCAAGAGCTTTGGATACTCATATGATTGAAGATGAGGAAGTAGAAATAGGCCAAGTTTTTGCTATGATGGATAAATATTTGGGCATTAGTGAAAGAAAAGAAGATGTTGATGAATGTTTGGATGATGAAATGGAGAATGAAATTTTGAAGATGTTTTCGTCTGGATTTTCTATTAAAAAGAAAAAAAAAATATTAAAAGTCCTATTGAAGAGATGGAAATGACAAATTCTATGGGTGGAGAATTTTTGGAGGAAGATGATGAGGTTATTAAGGCCTACACACATCCGTATTGGAAAAGAGTTACTACAAAAATAAAGATAAAACTCGGAGACCTAAATTAATCATTTTTAGTTCTTGTGGAACATGAATCAGAGATTAATATAATCTCTAGAAAGATTTATGAAAAAAAAAAATGACCTATTGATACCAACCATGGGTAGGTATTGAAAGTGGCAAATAATGAGAAAGGAGGTCTTTATGGTGCATGTCCAGTTATAAAGGCCAAAATTAGAGATGTTAAAGTTGAACAAAATTTTTTTGTTCAAAACAACCGCACATATCCAATTAACTTGAGGCAACCTTATATTACAGCAACAAGGATGGAAACTAAAGTATTGGATGATCGATCTCACTATGCTAGGATTACAAGCTTTGATGGAAGAAGAATTGTATAATTTCTAACAATGAAATCAAGTCACAGAAGGCATAGAGCTCAACTCAGAGATTCACCTATGGACAATGAAACTGAAGAGATTCAAGGTTTCTAGAGAGTACACGTAGAACATGGAAATCTATAGATACAAGAGATTTGATTAATACTTCATTCTCCAATGTATATAGTAGAAGTTGTGTGGTTTTCAATATGGTTGGAGATAGTTTTATAAGTTATATTAGAATTGAAGATTTAAATTCTATTCAGAGAAGAATGCTAAAAAAAGATGAAAGAAGGTTGAGAAAAATGGGTGTAGTGCTAGATAACAAATCAATTACAGGAATAATTGAAGAAGAAGGATATTTTGATGATATATTAGAGGTTTTGAAGGAATTGGAGAAACAAGAATTTATATGCAATGATGTGAAGGTGGAAGTTCATTCAAGGCAAGTATACAAAGCACTGTTGGATATAACAAAGAAAATGAAGTTAGTGAAGAGCTATGCTATAAAATTTGAAGCTAATATTAATACCAAATACAAGACTATAGCAAAGAAGGTCAAGCCTGTGGCAACACAATTACTACATGATATTAAAGATCATATTAAACAAGCTGAGAAAGAGCCAGGGTTAAGAGAATCAAAGAAGATTGGACATAAATTTATTGAAGAAACAATTGCCAAGCTACAAATTGGAGGGGGTGAGTTCTTGAAAGAACTAGAAAAGAAAAGGTTCTGAGACATGCTCCTCAAAGATGGTAAGGCTTTTGCTTCATCACCTAAAGAAATTGGATGTGTACAACCTAATATAGTAGCACCAATGGTTATTTTTACTATGCCACATGTTCCATGGGATTTAAAGCCTATTCTCGTGCCAAGAGCTTTGTTACTTAGATTGATGACATTATTAAAAGAAAAGATGCAGATGGATGTACTTGAGCCTTCTATGGCTTCATATTCTAATCATTGATTTATAGTCCTAAAGAAATCTAGAGCACTAAGATTTATTCAGGATATGCAATGTGTCAATGGTGTAACGATCAAAAACAAGGGATCTGGGCCAATTGTGGATGAAGTTGCTGAGGCATTTGTAAGGCATGCCATCTATTCTATTAGAGATTTATACTCAAGTTACGATCAATTCCAACTTGCAAATGAAAGCAGGGATTTAACAACTATGAAAACTCCATTAGGACTTGTAAGGATGTGTACATTATCCCAAGGTGCTACTAACTCTGTAGCACATATGCAAAATGCTATGAATTGCATTTTAAAGAACTTTGTGCAAGAGAAGACAATACCTTTTGTTGATGATATATCTATCAAGGATTGTAAAGAAGAAGCTAAAGACTTAACTGTGGATGAAGATGGTTGCAGAGCATTTATTAAAGATCACATTATAGATGTGGAAGGAATTTTGAAGAGATTTGAAGAGGTCAATTTGACATTATCTATTGACAAGTCTCGATTTGGCATGGAAGAAATTATTGTGGTTGGATACTTGTGTAGAAGGTATGGAAGAAAACCAAACCCTGAGAAAATAGATACTATTGCTAGCATGAAGGCATGTACTACTAAAATAAGGAGGTTTTTAGAGGCATGTGTCTTTTATCAAATCTGGGTATCACATTTTGCTCATATAGTTGATCCACTATATAAGCTCTTAAGGAAGGAAATTAAGTTCAAATGGAGAAAAGAGTAAGAATTGGTAATAGAAAAATTGAAGAATATTTTAAAGACTTCTCCAATTCTTAGACAAGTATCCAAATGGTTATTGTATACAGCGGTAGGGGTGCTTGAAGGGATGGTGTTCAACTGGGTAGCTTACGTAGCCACTCGTATTCATGCGGAGATAGGAGCCAAATAGAAATTGGGAAAGTTCACATATTTGTTTTGTTCTAATTATGTATATGCTGTAATCGTGCACACATTGCGTCAAACACTTCAAGTAGAAGAAAGTCTTGTACCAATGCCAATGCCTCCGCAGAGAGAACAAAATTCATTGGCATAGAAAGTTAATGTAGTGGATGTAATATATGAAATTGGGGAGCCAAGTTATACAGCTGCACTAGGGGTCATTCCAGTTATTGAATAAGAATGGGTTCTAATTTGTTTTGCAATAGAAGAGGAGAATGAAACTCCAATTTTGATGGATATTAATCAGTTGGCGTTTCCATAGGATCGATTGCTCGAAAGATTATCTCTTAAGAATGCCTTATTGAAGCACATTTCACAAATATATTGTATGGTAGAAGCATTCGATGTAGAAGACAGTAGCAAACGAGATTTAGAAAACAACAAAAAGGTGATATTGGATCAAAACCGAAAAATTGAAGAGTAAGAATAGGCTATAAAAGAAATTAAAGAATCTAAGTTGGTATTGGAGTGGAAATTGATTCACCAATATGATGCTTGGATGAAAGAAAAAGAAGACATCTTATGGATTATGGAAGGACAACGAGACGAATTGATCCAAAATCGCAAGATATGGGATTTGAAATGGAAGAAACTCAAATGCCAATTGCAAGCAGAAGGGGACAAGGTAGAATTATTAACGAAAGAGAAAACGGTATTGAATGACCAATCTAGATGCAAAACGGAGAGGTTGAGGTCTAAAACCAAAGTTTTATAAGCTGAGGTGGCAAAATTGACAGAAGAGTTAATCTTGAGGACCCAATCACAAGCATCAATTGAAGATGTTCTAGAATGGATGAGTCAGCAACAACATCAATTGGAACTTTGGCATGCCTAAATCTTGAAATTAGAAGCTCAAGTCCGTGAATTGGAAGAGTACAATAAAGATCTCTCAACCCACTTGAGAAACGAGTTGATTGAAGGATTGGAAGAAGAAGAAGATTTGAATTTAAAACCAGAATTGGTAGAACCCACATTAGATAATGTAGCAAATGATCAATTAGGTGGACGAGAGGAAATAGTAACTTTGTAGAGTTTTGTTAAGTAGTTGTTTTTAGGTAGGAATCAATTGTGTGTTTGCGAGGACATTGCACAAATAAGAATGGGACTTTGTAGAATAGATATTAGTTCATTTTTGTAAGATATTGATAAAATAGACTAATAGTCTATAGAATAGTTAATTCAAGAGGACGTATGGTTAACTTAGTTATTAAAAGTGATTAATTATAGGATTACGATTAGAATTTGGAAATTTGGAGCAAGTATATAGGAGTTGTAGAAGTTTGTTGGAATATCAGACTGTGATAGTCATGAGCCAGGGTAAGCTTGGTGCTATCTCTTTGTTTCTTTATTTTCTTTATTGTTCAAAAGTAATGGGTAGTTTTTGAGTACTGAGAAGTGAGGCCATGTAATAAATCAGAGATTGATTTATGAATTATTGATTGTGTAATTGGAGCACTGAGTGATTGAATTATATGATGAGTTATTAGAAGATTATGATTGTTGATTATTGAGAGTTGTGTAAGTTTTGGACAAAAAAAGTTGGTAATTATAGAAATTATGTGAATCCAGATTAGTTGGAGTGAGGTTTGTTATTTCTAGTGTTAGATGAAATTATTGTGTTTTGAGTGGTCTTTTGAGAGTGCACGGTTGCACATTGTTGGTATTAGTTGATGAAAGAGTATTGTTACTAGAAGAAAGCATTATAGTATTTCTTGGTATTTTAGTGGTTTGGAATATGATTAATTGTGTGACCCTAATAAGTAAAACTCATGCACTCAGTTTTTCTCTATGTTCGAATTTTCCTACATATGTTTATTCTCAAAAAAATTCTAAAATAAGTAAAATGACAATCACACATATCATTCAAGGATTGTCTCTCTATTGCAATCTCTATGCCACCAAGCTTTAATTAAGTCTTGTTTTGAAGGACTTGGATTACAAATGAGTCTACTTGCATTCAAATAAGTAATGCTTGTCCAATATACAACATTGAAGTCATATTCTTGAAGCAACAAAACTTATTTTATATACTTCTTAATAAACTTGTCAGATTTCATAAGTCACTTCAAAAATTGATGGTTAATTATCAAAATAAATTATTGACCATATAAGTATGATTGGAAGTGAGCAATGGTCCAAACTACTACAAAAGCTTCTCCTTTAGAAGATAAGTAATTGGACTACATATTTTTATTGCTTCTAGAAGAAAATATAATGACATATTTTTGTTTTACATCATCTTTTTGTATCAAGATTGCTCCTAGTTCTACTACACTTCAATCTATATATAAATGCTTGTAAAGAATTCTACAAAGTTAATACCCTCATTTGATAGATGCCAAGGAATAGATTGAATAAAAGTAGGTAATAAAGAAGAATTTGGTATCTTCAATATATCCAATGAAGATACAATATCTTTACATTGATATAAAAGTTCTACATGTATTTTTCATAGTAAAAACAAATCCTTCCAACCTCTTACATGAGCTTCTAAAGATAGTTGATGATTTATTTCTAAAGAATTGATTATAAATGTTGATGTCTCTTCTAATAGAACTGCTACATAAGGCACGTTAAAAGCCA